CCCTGCAGGCTGCAGTGCCTTTGGGCGTTGTTTCAGGACACGGAGCCCAGGCTACCTGTGCACCTGACGCTCGGGCCGGCCAGGCACTGCCACTGCAAGGCAGCCCGGGTGGAGCGTTGCTGAAGTGCAGCTTAGGGCACAGAGAGAAGCACAGCTACCGCCACGTAACATGTGCCGTGCCCCTTTGGTACCGGCATAGCTCCATCCGCCGACTGTGCCCCGTGACGTTTCACTGAGCATGGAGTAAGGCGGTAAAAACTCAGTCCCAGATCTTTGCTCGTCCAAGCGTTGTGAAGTTTCAACTGTCTGGAATCCAGTCCTCCGGGAAGTGGTGCCAATCGCTTCCAAGTACCACAAGCTGATGGAAACTCACAGCGCAGGATCCTGTCAGCTCTGATGCCCCGCACCCCTCTCTACCAGCACCCCTCAGAATTCTTCAAGCAGGTGTAACCACTCTGCAGTCCCCGTTTTGCAGACGGGGCCCTGGGGCACGCAGCAAGGCTCACGGCTTGCGCCGGGTAAACTGAGCAACAAGAGCAGCTCTGGGATTTTTCAGCGTGGAGCAGAGAACCCAGGAGGGCAGGGGGCTCCCCCTGCTCTGGGCTGCCGGAGCCCTTGGGTGCCGCTCAGCGCCCAGCCCAGCACCCGCTCCCCCAGCCGGAGAGCGCTGCGGCGCTCCGCTCGACGTGAGGGCAGCGCTTGGGAGCTCAGGCTTACGGGTTAGGGAACGGGGTCTGTGCATCGCGTCAGAGCGAGCTAACGCCCCTCCCTGGGGGTTCTCCTGTTGGGAACTTTGGGTGAAGAGTAATTTCAGGTACCCAAAAAAATCTGAAACACCGTACTAAAAATCAGACAGAAACAACAAAACAGATCTTTATAGCCGGAATCGATATCCATAAACATTCTCAGATTGGCCTTCAGATACATACATAGAAAACAAGAAGAAATAAACCAGAGCAGCTCCAAGTTACCAACATGGAAATACTATAAAAATTTGAGGGCAACGTTAACATAATCCATACGCTGTAGCACCAGAGCGTACGGGCGCAGCACCTCTCCCCTCATGCCTACGTGCTGTCACTGCTGCACAGCTGAGACCCAGCTCCTAAGAAAGACATTCCTAAGGGATGTACAGAGCTGCTGGATGAGGTGAAGCACGAAGGTAGCAACTGGGAGTCTAACGTGGGAGCTTTGAAATCCGTTTTAAACTGTACAGCATGCAGCCAGTAACTCCCCATGGAAGCTGATGCTGAACTTGCCCGGGGCAAAGGGGAGCTTGAAAGAGAAGAGAGAACATCACCGTTGGGATAAAACTCTTCACTTCTGGCTTTAAAACCAAATCATTCAAAAACTTCTGGCAAAAGCATTTCTCTCCCGAAGACGAGGGATGGAGATTCCCAAGGCCTGTACTATGTGCACAGCAAGCGTGCTGCAGCCACAGACCGTTGGTGCCGGAAGGAGCGATGCAGTGATAACGGAGGGAGCCGGCTGGAAGTGACGACTGGGTGCTGGTTGCGCCACGGGCGCTACACAAGCCCTGTCATTGCCGCTCTGAGGGTACCACGACATCTTTCCGGCCCTTCACGCAGCCCAGCCAAGGTTCAGCTGTTAGCCAGCCGTTTTCCTTAACGGTTCGTGGCCACGAGAAACGTCCGACTGATCTTAGAAAGCTCTAAAAGTGTGAAAAAGGAGCGAGACCCTGTACACCTGCTGCCGCGTGACCAATTAACGCAGACAAGGGCTGTAACGGAAAGGCATCTTTGCTTTCCCCAGGTGACGCCCCTCCCTGTAGGAAGGAAGTGCTGGGGGAGAACCCAACAAACCCCCAAGCACTGCTGTCAGCACAAGCTGCGGCCAAGGCCTGCTGGTCCCTCCGTCGCCCTGCCGCGAGGCAGAGCTGGTTCTCGATTCTCCACAGCCAGGCTGACGTACAGAACAAGACCGACGCCGCCAGTGGTGTTTTTAACTCCTCGGCTCTCCCACGGTATACTTGAACAGACCTTGGGCATACTCATAAAGCTAAAAAATTGGAAAATATTTAAAATGGTCGTGGCAGGGAGCTCGCTGCGCTATCCCGCATTCTTTTCAGCAGCAATTCGCTCTACAAGGCCGACGGCGTGCAAACTGCATCGGGGGCTGAAAGCGTTAACTCTAAGAACAGCCAACACACGTACAAATGAGACTCATTTCCTTTATAAAACATCACGGGAAAGTCAATTCCCACTGTGTGATGGATGGAGACTTCCTAAATATTAATAAATATATTACACATATTTACAGGCTTCCGATTCCATCCTCTTGACGCTGATGTGAAGCTCGGACGGCAAACAGGACATGCTGGGCAGCACCGCAGGGTAACGCAGGCAAACGGCTGCGGTGGATTTGGGACGCGAGTGCAATCAGCGAGATGGGAAGCTAAAATAGCCCGCTCCGGAGAGATCCGGGCAATGAGCGAGCCGAGCCCCTTCAAGGCTTCACGTGCCAAACCAGCCCGCTGCTGTTGCTTTTGCAGAATGAAATGCCAGGATAACACGGAGTGACTGTGGCCGAGAGGCAGGGACGGGAGGGAAGGCGGGGGGCAGCCCTCCGCACCACGATTTCTGGAGCTTGCCACATGTGTCGGCAGCCTGGAGGGTTTTTTCCAGGGAAAAAGGGAGGTATCCATGCCCTGCCTCACAGCAGCTCTGCGCGAGCAACGAGGAGCAGTCTGTACAACCACCGTGGTGGTGTGCGGTGTTTGCCCAGCGCAGCAGAGCCCGGCCCCCGCCAAAGGCTGCTGGACATCCCGCAAGGGCAAAGGCTCCGCCGCTTCCCTGGAGTCACCCCGGACACTGCCAAGGTGGAGGGAGCCACAGGAATGCTGTCAGGGACTCATTTCCCTTTGCACACTCAGGATTCACTCAGTCCTTGATCCTGCCCACTTTGTGACGTCCTTAATCCCTCTCGAAGGGGATAACGCTGGATACGCTGCACCTCAGGGGCTTGGGGATGCCAGGAGGGAGGACTGTGAGTGACTGGCCACAGGGCAGGGCATGCCCAACGATAAGGACAACAGGAGGGGAGATGCAAAGCGAGACTTCACGCGTGCGTTTCTGCCTGGCTTTCCTGCCGCACGGCGCGGGAAACGCGTGGCCTGGTCTTGGCACGGAAGCAAGAAAAAGCGCAATGTGACTGAGGTTAGGCGACCCTTCCAGCGAGAGCAGGCCTGCCACATCGGCCTGTGCTGCTCACCTCCTGCCATCTTCCCGTGCCGGGACTGTGGGGGCTCTAACGCGCGAGACACTCACCCAGAGGCGCCCCGAGGAGAGGGCCGTGACACCGCACGGTGCGCGGGATGGCTACACGGGAGGGCGAGCCGCGAGCCCTGCTTCTCCTGTCCACGTTGGTTCAGAGCGAGTTACAACCAGTCTTCCAGTAAGCCCTGCATATGCAAAAATTCTCATTTTCCAAGGGGGCGTTTCAAGAAACATACGGATGGGTGAGTCCCTGGGAAGGTTTGAGGAGATTTACATGTGCTTTTCCAATCAAACTGAAACGATAGGATTGGAGTGGCTGCTCCGAAGGCTGCAATGTGACATGCCAATACGCTTGGAAGGGGAAGACTCGATCCCCCGGGGAAGGAGAAGGCAGCCTGCAGTGGGACTGGAGCCCAGGCACTGCACGGAAGTCCAGCACCCCCGGCACCCCACGGCCCCCACGCCGTGCCCTGCCAGGGCTGGTGGGGCAGTCTGCCGCCCCAGGGGCTTTTCAACGCACGAGATTTGGATGGGAGAATCTGTTTTGCTTAATACATCTTTATAATCGTGTTAGGGGAATCCAGTCCCAGCTACTTTGGAGCAGTTCTGAGGTATCTCTCATTAATCTGAAGTATAGAAATGTTAATAAATAGATCTGAAACTCTCCTGCTATGTCACTCTATAATACACTGCTATATAGATATTAAATATGCCTCAGGGTATTAAAAAATTTATGAAAAAGTTACAGTAGTTGATTTTCAAGTATTAATAACTTGGCTACGTTAGCTTGTTTTTAAACACCAAAACGACCTGGCCCCAAATTATTGACTAAACTCTGGCTATGCCCGAATTAAAAAAAAAAAAAAAAAAAAGTATTTTGAATATAAAAAAAAAGTGCAAAAAAGCATGAGATGTCAGTTAACGGCATGACGTTGTTGGGACTCCTAAACAACCAGCCTAGCACTCTTTTGAGAGCGAATTAAAAAAGGAGAAAGAACGAAAAGAGATAAAAGGAAGAAAAAGAGGGATTGCTCCCAATCTGAGACGGCGCCGTCCCAAATTTCGGCAGAACGCGTATTTTTACAGCCAAGTTACAAACCCCAGAAAAAACGGGGTTCTCAGTGGATATGCTGCCAGCTCTAACTACAGCAGTATTTGTGTGCTCCGTTATAATACAAATGTACACCTCACCCACCACTGCCGCTGAGTAACCGCGAGAACAACGTGAGAGGGAGTCAGTTAGACGCCCCCCTTATTTCCCATCCTCCCCATAAACTACAACTCTCTCTGCTCCTAAAATTCACTGCTACTAGTAGTCGTCACCGTACATTCAAGATGGAAAGTAAACCGCTAAAACCTGCTCAGGAGACACTCAGAGGTACGCTAAGGCTTAGGAAGTAGAGCAGCTCAGGGGAACGGCCAAGCGCACGGGCCAAGAGCTTCGTCGCGTATCTTGCCCTAGGACACAGACCTTCCAGGCCGCCGCGCTGAAGCCTTATCTCGGAGCAGGCGAAACAGTTCCAAGAAAGATGGTTTTGCCCCCAGCCGCTCACGCGGTGACTGGTGTGCGATACGACGCGTCGCTGTTCGAGCTAGGCCGTGAGCATTATGAGGGCTGCGATGCCAAGGTGACTTCCTGTTGCCTACTGTGCTCATGCTGGCGCTCGGTCAGGTTTGGTTCTCCCTAACTCATACGCTGTCAGCTCCTCTCCTGAAAAGTGATTCAAAGCAGGGTTAAAAAAAGATGGAAAGCAAGAAAAGGCTTTCTAGTTTCAATGCACGCATACGAAAGAGGCAACAATTTCAAACTATCGACTTTCTTCCAGCGCGAGCAGCCGACCCGTTGCGTATCGTTCTGCACGGATCTAAACACAGCGTTCCCTGTCTCTGGGAACTGCCGGAGTAGGAAATGCTGTGATCTAATGCCAATCCAAGCCAGGCGAGTGAAACGAAGCAACGGAACAATGATCCGGTTTCAGTGACCTTGCTTGTGGATGATGACCTCACGAAGACAAAAGCAAAGGAAAGGCACAAGGCTCAGATCTCGTTGATAGTCCTTTCAGAGGGGCAGTAGTCAGAGGTTCCCGGCGATGACATGTAGAAGGACTGCGTTTTCCTTTTTAACCTGGCTCGCTTGTTGGCCAGAGACAGGCTGCGCCGGCTTGAATTGATGATTTCTGAAATAAACTTCTTGCAGTCCACGCACACCTCCATCGTGCTCCAGTCCTCCATTAGTTCTTTGGGAAACTCTTCGTGTGACTTATCCACAGATTTGGACCTTGAGGTCAACCTGAAAGGGAAAAGAGCGGGGCCTGTCACATCACTCAGCAGCACAGCCAGGGGCCCCGAGGGACGCCTTCAGGAAACGGCACCTCAGAACCATCTTGACTTAAACCTTCCTTTCTCCTGTCCCAAAAAACAACACCGGGAGATGCAACACCGGAGAGGACAGCTTCTGCCTGTCTCAGCAGGGTACTGAGGGTGTGTGTATCACTTCCTTGGCAAAACCCACCTTATAATACCTATGAATAGAGGATGTGTGTGCGTTTGGCTAATTTGACGCAGCATCGTAGCACTAGTGATTTATGCAGAGGGTTTATACTGTAGATCCCCTCAAAAAAGAGCATTTCTTTAATATTTAATTTCTTGGATTAGCTTTGACAACCACCTGTGTATAAGATGATAGAAAACCAGTAGATCACCTGATTTTGTTTCACCAAAGTGAAACAAAAAAAAAAAAAGGTGGCATTTAGAATTAGAAGAATTAGGGGGGAAAAAAGATAAATCTGTGCCAAGCATCATGGAATTCCCATTTGCCGTGTGGTTCTAGCCTGTGAGATTGGTCTCTGGGGAGTCCGTTCACACCAGAGAAAGAGATGCTAAGGATCATTTTGCAGAGGTGTTACAGAAATACAGTCACCCCAGACTCATGCTATTTTTCACCCCTAATGTGAAAAAGGTTTAAGACACGTTGTTAGTGTTGCTATTTCCATAAATTAAAGCCACGAGAGGAAGAGAGATGGATTTCAGGCTTCAGGAAAGCGGCTGCAAGCATCAGCAACACTGACAACTCCCAAAGAGGCAGACGGCCCCGTCTTGATGACTGGTAACGTGGAGCGCTCAGGAAGCATTTGCAGCAGACACGTGTGAGCGAGGGTCGGTTCTCACCTGGACATGCTCCGCAGCGATCGGTGGTGACTGGTAGAGGGTTTCTCTGGCCTCATAAAGCTTTCTCCTCTTTGCAAGGTGGAAGGTCCCAGCGAGAAGATGGGGAGAGTAGAATATGGCTTTGATGGCAAGCGCATCTGGTGGGAACAGGAGAAGGAACATGTGGTATCATTACAAGGATTACAGCCTTTTAGAAAGGATCCAACCCTAAGTTCCCTTACTTACTTTTTTGCAACACTGTGAGCATACAGGCCTGTGGAAGAAAGCGAGAGTGTGAATCACTACATGTAATTTTTGCCAGTGAAAAGCAAGATTAAGGGATAAATATTTTCAGGGGTTAAAAATCCTCCCCCATCCTCCCCTTCAACAAACATTTTTATTTTTAAGGCTTCTTCAATGTAATAACTTCAATCAGAATGTGAAGGCAAAAGCAAGAAAAAATACTAAACAAGAAGTACAGCTAAATTAAAGTGTGGGGGGGGGGAAAGGTGTTTTTCCTCTAAAGAAGCCTTATTTAGTAAGTGAGACAGTAAGTCAGTGATTCCACAGATCTCCAGATTCAGTGTCTCGCTGGTCAACTTAAAATTTTTCACTTTGCCTGCAAATGATTCGTTTTTCCTTCTCCCCCCACAAATACTCCAAAAATAATCCGGAAGATAAATTGCCTTGAAATGTTTTCCCCCAACAACAGAGACGACGGAACTGTTGACTGGGGATTTGGAGTAAATTCCATCTCGCTCTCCCATGAGCATAAAACAATGAGACCAAGTGTTTCTCTTGCTTTCAGCCATGAGTTTCAGTCCAAGGAAGCAATTCTGTCACTTAAGAAGGAACTGGTTTTGCACAGTTTTTTTAGAATACTGACTCTTACAGAAGTAAAAACTATCAGCAGTATGGAGTGGAAACATCTGAGGGTTGCTAACATATAAATCAGTATTTTTCCCTCTGAAACAGTACTCGTTTACTAACAGATATTGAATATTTACCTCTTACAGAACTGACAGGTGTAAGACCAGGTGAAGAAGGAAAACCTTCTCGTTCGACAGCAAAAGCAGAGCTAAAAGAAGAACAGAGGAGCCCACAGCGTTAGGCGCAGTCCCACACAGCCATGACTTCATCTGTCAGCTGCCACTGGTGAGCCCGCGGTTGCAGCTCTACAGCCTGTTCTGGGGCCCACACTTGTACAGTGATACCGAAACCAACACTCCTTTAAGTTTTTACCTACATTAAATACTTGCCAGTTAATTATTACCTTATTTTTACTTCTCCCTCACTAATGTGTACGTTGTTATTACACAGCAAAGTAACGGGGAAGTCAGAGTAACAGCCCATTCGGAAGGGCATCTGTTAGAACTGAAGAACACAAGAAAAAACGGGCACCAATTCAGCCAGGAGTACATTTAGGCTGGAAATGGTTCCCAACCATCTGGGTCAGGTTCTGGGACACAAAGTTTTTGCCTTTGATAACATTTGATGATTTTCTCCCAATCTTATGTTCTTGAAAAATGGAGGAGGTGCAGGAACGAGCGATTTTAGCAATCTTACTTGAGATTATTATGGCCTGGTTTATAGTGGGATAATAAATCCCATATATGTTTATCCAAAGGAGGCAGGGATCACAGCTTAAGAACGTTTCTAGGAAGGAGAGGCATTGAACAATGAAAGTTTTGCAGTCAAACAAAAGGTGACATACTGAGATCCACAGACTCAGGTTAGGCTAGGTAAGTTTGGTCAGAAGTAAAAGTGAACAATTTTAATAGTGGAGTAAATTAATTAAAGCTTCAACTTACTTTGAGATGGGATAAAAAGCTCATTACTAAGCTTTATATATCATGCTCATAGGCAAGAGCTGAGTCTAATGAATTTTAAGATTCTTGTTCCTCCACCTTAAACGTACGAAATCTTTAAATCAAATTTGCACAGTAGACACAGGTAGGCCTGTAGGTAAAACAGACTGTGAGCCAAAACACACTTGCTGGAGGTGTTCGAGAAGCACAAGTCAAAAGTGGAAGAAAAGGACACTGCTTCTGCGGGTAAATAGCAATTCCCAATCTGCAGTTTACTGAAAGAATGCATTAATTAATGGGTTCTCTAATATTAAACCTCCTTCTGGGGTCACATGTTGTCCGCCTGCTCTGAAGGCGTTCATTCCCTCTTTGCTTGATAGTAAGGATTCCTATATGAAAAACCTGTGCTTTCCTACTGCTATGTGCAATTCTGTTTTCCGGAGCAGGA